TTAAATAGACATTATACTAATTTTTAAGAAGAATTAGAAGAAGTAGTAGAAATAAATTAGGAAGATAAAGAGACCCCTATCCCGACTAGTCCGGTTACCAAGTCCCCTCTTTACCTACCTTTTCAAATGTCGCCGTCATACGTGTTACAAGATCGTTAGTATGGAAATTTTTTATACAAAATGAGGAGAAAACTATTGTTATGTCCACTAAATGTAAATTGGTAATGAAACATGTAATTATGGGTACGGTACTCAAGGGGGAAGGGGACGACTAAGAACACATTTACGAAAGTGTAATACAGAATTTGCTCGCCTAGATGATATAGAAAGAGTTAATAGAAATGAAACACCCATACCCGAAAGTTCTATGGGTGTTGGAGGTTCTAATATGGTTCAAGGTGTATTAAATATGTCTAACCCGGCTAGTCGAAGCACACACCGCACGTATAGTAAAGAAAAAGATCATAGAGAATTAGCTAAAATGGTTGTTGTTTGTGGTTTATCTTTTTCATTTATTTCTCATCCTGGTTTTGTTCATTATATTCGAGAATTATATAACCCAGATTATGAAGGTATTCCAAGAAATACAATTAAAAGTGATCTTTTTAAATATCAAAAAGAATATTCTCATTTCTTTGTTGTTTATTTGCTTATTATGATGGTAGATTATCTATTACTTCTGATATGGGACGTAGTCCAAATGGTAACGATTATTTTATACTTACTGTCCATTGGATTGACCATGAATGGAACATGCAAAAATGAATATTAGCGTGTAAATATGTTGAAGAAACTAAAATTGGTTCTTATATAGCATCAAAAGTAGGCTCTATATTACAATATTATGGAATATGTGATAAAATAATGAGTGTCACTTTAGATAATGCTTCTAATAATTTAAGAGTCGTTGATTATTTAAAAATTAGACTTTGTCCAATTGATAATGATTGTTTTCATATTAAGTGTGTCGCACATGTTTATAATTTAATAGTAAAAGATGCTATTTCTCAATTTGGAGTTTCTTGTGAAAAAATTAGACTTGCTTGTAATTGGATTTTTAAAGATAAAGTAAAAGCTAGAATTACTGAATTTAAAAATCGTTGTAATGAATGTGAACATGCATATAGAAAAATTCCAAAAGAAATATGCACTAGATGGAATTCTTTATTTGAAATGCTTCAAGTTGCTTATGTTTATCAAGAACCGCTACAATTAGTTTTTAATGCTCATAATGCGGATCCAAGTTTAAGAATTGGCTTTGAAGATTGGCAAAATACAAAAGAACTGATTGATTTTTTAAATATTTTTTTATAAAGCAACAAATGCATGCTCTGGTCAATATTATCCTACTATTCTTCTGTTTTAGTAAATATTTGTGCTATTTCAATTGAATTTGCTAAATATAAAGTAAATGAACATTTTAAAGATTCAATTGCTTTTATGATTGAAAAATTCAAAAAATATTTTTTCCCTATTCCTCAAATCTATTTGACTGCTACTACTTTCAACCCAAATTATAAATTAAGAGGTGTTGAAAGAATGGTTGAAAAGATTTATAAAAATCTAGAAATTAAAGATGATGAAACTCCTAGTGTTGAACAATGTAAAAGTATCATTTATACAAAAGTTAGAGATTTATATAATGCATATAAAGTTATGGAAAAAATATTCCAATAGTTGAACCTTCATCTTCTAAGCCTAAAAGTGATGATACTGATGATGTGATGGATGAATATCTTGAGCTTGAAAGTGATGAAACTAATAATGATTTTGATTTATATTTCAACCAGGCACGGGAAAAGATTAGGCGTGAAGAAGGAGAACTTCAACCTCGAATATTAAATTGGTGGAAGAATCGTGAAAATCAATTTTCGACCCTTACTAGGATTGTTCAAGATGTGCTAGCGATTCAATCATCATCGGTAGCTTCGGAGAAAGCCTTTAGTGTGGCGAGATTTACGATTGGAGATCATCGATATTCATTAGCAAAGGATAGTTTGGAAATATCGATGTTGTTTCGAGATTGGGTCAATGCCGAAAGAAGAAACACCGGACTACCACTATTAAGTAGCCATATAGAAGACCAAATAGATGAAATATTTGGTGAGAATAGTGATGATGGCATGGAAGCAATGGAAGAAGAACGACAAATGCCAATTCCAAAAAAATCTTTCTTTTCAAATGATACAAAATTTACAAAAAGAATTTTAAAAAAAATGCAATTGTTAGTATAATAATTACTATTCAATTCCTCCTAAATTATGTACTCTTATTCTCTTTCTAATATTTGTATTGTATAATTTATTTATTTGAATAAATATACGGCTATTCACCTTGATTTTCTTTTATAATAGTCTCTTCTATTTAATTCATGTCATTTTATAAATTTAATTTTTAATTATTTTAATAAAAGTTTATATTAAAACTTTAAATTCGATATAAACTTTAAAATTTAAATTTAATTTTAAACTTTAAATTCAATATAAAGTTTAAAAAACTTTAAAGTCAATTTCAAACTTAAGTTCAATATAAAACTTTAAATTCAATATAAACTTTAATGTATAAATTTAATTTCAAACTTATATAAACTTTAGAGTTTTCAATTTAAGTTTTAATATAAATATATAATATTATATAATAATTAAAATAATTAAAAAAAACGGATGAACCGGTAAGACCCGGTTCCAAACCGGTTACTAACGGACCGGGCAGAACAGGGTGATATTCCTGGTAAATCCGATCTGGTAAAATCTAGTACCGGTAAGAAAATCCGGTAAGAAAAATCCATTCTAATATATGAAAAGTTTGAAATCTACCAAATTGCTCCATTCTATCATATGGATGTGGTAGTAGTAATTAATAAGTTTGAAAGATGACAAGTAATTGAATGTATGAATAAGGGTGTGGATGAACAAAATTATAATAGTCATCATTGTGGTAATTATAAAAGGAAAACACAGTGGGTTCTCCAAATATTTCTTTGAACTGTGAAGGTAATTTTTATCATCATAAGGGTATGAAAGTTCATTGCATCCGTGATCATTGTGCGACCTAATAATTTGATAAATTTATAAAAATTCTCCATCAAAATAAAGAATGTAAAGCGATGGTGCTAGTTATCTTTCAAAATGATGTTGAGGTGTGTCATGTAAATATGTCAATATAAAGGTATGACATGTATAAATGGTTATGGTTAACTCATTGTGACTTGTAATAAGCATGTGGATATTTGTCAATTCTAGAAAGTGAATTCGTCAAAACATGAAGGAAAAATATGAATAAGATATATTCATGTATGGTTGGAAATATGTCATAACTCACCTCTACGGGATGTTTGACGAAATAAATAAATTTTATTTGTTAGGAATTACAAATGATCGTGTACGTTTATATGGCATAAATATTGTGGTATGTTTACTGTGAACTATCGAAAGGTCAAAAGAAAGAAATAATTCTTGTTTATAAAGGTTGTAGTCATTATTGTGTGGCAATACAAATTTTTCATTAATTAAGTGTCTATGATACAAACAAAGTAAAGCAATAAACATGTCTTTCTCGTAATGATTTTGACCTTGACAATAATAATATAATTTCCTACTTGAAGGAGATGCTCACTATAGGGATGGTGTCATGCAATATGTGATAGAACACAAAATTAATATCAAACTCTAACGAGTTGTGTTATTACTGGAGGAATAATAATGAAGTTGTAGTAAGTCCCAAAAGAAAGTTTTTAAGTTTCTGAAAATTTGAAATAAATATTGAGACTATAAATTATGAAAAGATCTACTATCTTCAGATTACTACAATTGAAGCGGGTTAAAAATATTTATATAAAAGATTACCCGTTGTTTTCTCTTGTTTGTTGCAGACAAAATATGGACATACTAATGAAATCACATGCAAAAGTAAATTATATGTGTACTGAAATAAACATCAGTTTGCATGACCATTTGACCATTCTGATTTTAATGTGATGCAAATATAATTGAAATTCATGTGAATTATATGATAAAGAAATAAAAGATTTTTCAAGAATTCTCTTGTTTTGCTTGTTCTCTTAATTAAATTATCATTATACCAGCTAAGGTAAGGATTGTATTCCCTGATATTATTTGGAACAGATAAAAAGGTGAATATGGGTTCATTCTCCTACCATGTAGATCATTTGTAACTATATAATAGATGCATATATGTGATGGTCACATGTGGTTTGTTGTCAACTTACAAAATGGTATTTGTAAGATTGTTTACTCGAATGGTTATTAAGAGAATTCCAAAATATTAAATTATACTGATAATGTTTGTTGGTTTTCCCATAGGATTTTCCAACTAAGATTTTAATGAGGTACATTATCTATGTCCATCGAAGGGGGAGTTTTATAAATCCATTGAATTGTGTGGATTATGCTTTAGATATATTCAAGATTTAATTGTACTCATGATTACATGTTTCCAAGGTGATAAGAACCATTTGGATAGCTATGCATCTACTAATTGGTGACCTTTGGGAGTGAATATCTCAGCACTATAAATAGAGATATCACGCACCATTTGGATGATACACTTGAATAGAACAAAAGTTTTCTCTCTTCCATCTTACTTCTCTTGTCTTCTTCTCTTTATATTATATTCTAAGCCTATATTTTATAGCAAATTGCATATAGAAGTAAAATTTATCTATTTTTCATTTTATATGATTTTATCAATGAAGGGTAATTAAAATTCACATTAATAAGTATATCATCGAACTTTTCTATGCTTTAATGTAATGTTTGAATTATTCAATAACTAGATAGACACAGTCCGTACAAGCACGGCCCAGCGCTGGATACTTCATGTTGTGAATGCTTTGCATAGTCATTTGTTGACAAACCAAATGATAGCCACCAAAATAATTAAAAAGAGGGAAACAATAGCACATGAAAAATCATACAATTGAACTTGCATAAGCTTATATGATTGGTGTAGTGAAAATTATATATCTTGATCTGCTAGTTTAAAAAGAAAGGAAATGTTAGGAAAAGACAAATACATATCTTTTAGAAAAAATTATGCACAAGTGGTACAAGTCAAATAATAGTGTCTTCTTGTGCTTCCCAACAACTTTTACTACATAGTTCTTCCAAATTTCTCGAGCTTGTTAGCTAGATCAACTCCGACTTCTTTCTCTAAAAAGCTGGTACATTAGTTTTTCCTATACAATTTAATGAAACTGTATGAAAACCATACAACATAACATAGCAAACCAACATTCATCGTCGATTGCTTATCCCTTCACTCATTTAATTCTGCGCATGACTTCAGTGATGTTGATTTGGTGCTTGCAAGAGAACATGTTTTATGTTCTGAATTATACATACAGTCACTCATTTTACTTGATAAGAATCCAGTTGAGTAAATAGAGGTAATGATTTTATGTCAACCAAAAAATCCAAATCATATCAAATGAATTTAGCCCAGCCTTTTCGTAACCATTTCTCTTGATACACTACGTCTTCTACCTCTCTCCATTGTTTACTTGAAAGAGGAAATGACGGAGTCAGAAACTTAATACCTGAAAATTTAAAATTAAGAGTGAATTCTCCCTCTTTAACTGAACCTTATACAACATTTTTGAATATTAGCAATCAACTTTTAAAAACTAATTGAGATGAATGCATAAATTTCAGCAAAAGGAGAAGTAACACAAAAATATGAGTTATTACAAACAATAAAACAGTAGTGACACTGAATTTTAAAAAACTTATAAAGAAACACAAATTTGACAAGTAATTAAAGAAGCCACTATAAAGGCAAAAAATTTACACATATGTAAGAATGTTAATGAACACTGCCTTGCATATATGGAAGCAATCAGTTCATTCATTTCTTATTTTAAATAGAATTTTTTAAATCTATACAGCAAAATTTTCTAAAGGTAGTGTGTCATTCTTGTTATGTGTTCTCCTGAAAAATGACAAATAAAAAAATGCATTCGCTTAATGATTATCTTCCTTTGTCAAAATGTGTGATATTTGCTTTCTGATAGGTACATTGAGTAAATAAGAACTTAATATCCTTCTAAACAAAGAAACATTCGATTAGATCCAACGTTTCACAGAAAAACATTGAGCATTTTTTTGGAAGAATCACATTTCATGGACTAGATCTTCAAAAAGAAGAGCAGGAGAAACATTTCAAGTACATCTTTTCACTAATCAAATAGACCAGAACATACTTATCCAGACTTCTCAAAATGATAAAAAGAGAAGCTACCTCCACATGTTGTGACGCATAATTTGTTTTGATGATAGCATACAGGTGAAATCAAGTGGGTAAAAGAATTCATACATTACATAAAATAGTTAAAATGTTATACTCAAAGAAACATTCATATACAAAATGAAAAGATAGTAGAGCACTTTGCAAGGTTTATAGAAAGTCGAATCTATGTAATCTATATGTAACTCCATTAAGTGTTCACTATCAAACTGGAGTTCGATGACTATTCCTCTGTATTTGTTTTTCACAACATAAGTTAATGATTAATACTGATAAATATTAAGAAATATCATCCTAATTTTACAACTTATAGCTCAAGATTATAAACATCAAGTTGGCACCAATGCCAAATTATAATTGCAGTGAACATGCTCGAGAATCCAATAGCTCCCAAAGTAACATAATATCATTATATTAGTTCTCCTCAAAATAGCCATGTTCATCCCTTCATTTTCCCTTTTTAATTGTAACAACACTTTATCGTCCTCAAAATAAGCAATTTAATATAAAGTTTAACAACAAAAAAAAATTGATTGCAATCGATGCATACAGCATCCTTCCAGAAAAATTGATTATTTCACATATTAAACTTTTTCTTAAGACAAACCAACTTAAATGGGGAAACAATAAATGGAAGTACCACATCAAGATAGAAAAATATAACAACTTTAAAAATGTTCAACAGATGAAGAAACTGCTGAAATTTAGAGACCTACAAAAGGGAAAAACTGATTTTTTTTTCTTTTATGTATGAGAGAGAGAATGAAATAAGAACGAGAGTAACTTAAGAAAACAAAATGGGCATGACCAGAAGCTCCATGCTTGTTAACATGTATCCACCATGAAAGAGCGAGCAAAGGACTTAAAATTCTCATGTTACGAGTTCCAATCTGAATTGGGGGATTAGGACAAATGCATTTTCATTCAAAGGGCCAAAGTTTAACATCAAATGCAAACTAAGCATCATTCTAACCAATTACCAAGTTCAACAGTATAGCCAACGACCTTCAACTGTCACAAGACCATGCTCAAACTCGGCCCTTGATTTTACATGTTATTAGTTGCATTAGTATCTAATATAGATCTAGTACTGTTGCAGACTCAGGATTCCTTTTATAAAAAAAATTGAACATGTTAGGCTCGAAGGCCTCTTTCAGACTCAGGAGTCAAGATCAACATGACAGTATATTTAGATAAAGAGGGAAATGTAAGTCTTATGAAATAAAATCATAAAAGCAATATGATATGAGAACTACTATTTTACTAACTGCAATAATCATACTAATAATATGAATCAAGAGATAAATTACAATACAAAAATCTCTTTATTAGACTTTGTAAGAATTAGAGAGTGAAGTGTATCTTTAGGTATAACCCCTTCTTTTATCAAAACAACTGAAAATAAGATGAAACATTTCTTTACCTGTAAGTTGACAAATTGAGGCGATCAAGAACTCTCAAAATCATCATAAAGATCCTTGGTGTAGTGAGTCCTCACATTGAAAAAGGCTTCTAACGGCAGTGAAGTGTGTAGTGAGTTCTCCTACACTTGGCAGATTTTCGTAAAGTAAATGTATTAAATGCTCAAGACATTAATGTTGAAATCCTCATTATTAGCACATCAGAAACATTTAATTTCTTAATTATATTGCACAAGGGCTAAACCTCAAAGAACAATCACAAGCAAGAATATATAACTGAAATGGATATAAAACACATAAGCAATAGTTATTAATGTGGGAATCCCAAGTCCTCAGCAACTACAAAATGCATAATGAAGACAATAAAGGTAAATGTAAATCGGGCAAAAGAACAATCACTAGCAAGAATATATAAATGAAATGCATATAAAACACAAAATTAGTGATAATTAGTGTGAGAATCCCATATCTCAGCAACTACAAAATGTATGATGAAAGACATTAGAAGGTAAATACCAAACGAAATCACAATCATAAATATATAAATATACTGCATATAAAACGCAAAAGCAAAAACAATCACGGACAGATCCAACCTATGGTCAGGGAGTTCATTCAAACTCCCTTCAACAAAAAAACGATTAGAATGAAAATTACCTCAAAATTTCCTATTCAAATATGAAATTTCGTCACCAAATTGATGCATCAGCTCAGACTCGAATCACTCACCTCTAATTTTCCATCAATTGCTCTTCATTTGTAAGTCTCTTCTTCTCCTTGTCCGCCAAGAGCAAGAATAGAGAGGATGAAAAATAGAAAAAGTAGAAAAAAGAACCAAAGCAAAATTATTGAAAATTAGAAGGTATTTCTAAATAAGAGGATACACAATTTAATATAAACAATATTCAATCAAAATTAATTACATTTATAATAGTTATTTTTCTATTATGGATAAATAACTAGCATGTAATTTTAATGCTTACTATCTTTTAAATTGAAAGAACACAAAAAGAAAACTGCGTCATTGATTTCTTGTGATAAGTTAAAATATATATAAAGACATTTGTAGTAACGTTGCAATACCATAATAGATTGATATTATTGTATAATAATTGTTTAATTTAAAAGTAGAGTAAATATTTATCAATAAAATACATTCTAAATGACATTCGTATTTTTTATATTATTGGTTGTTTATTTGGTTAAATATATTTAAAAGAATATATCCTCAAAGTTTTCAACGAGAAAAAGTTCTTAGATTTGAAAGAAAAAGCTTCTAGCTAAATTATATTTAAAAAATTCAAGTATGTATTCCTCAAAAAATCTCCAATCAAATTCACTATTATAAAATCACCAAGTAATTCTAAAAGTAAAACACAATTCCAAGTAAATCCTCAAGAAATTAGTTCCCAACAAAATTTGTAGAACATGATTCCCCAGGTCATATACCATATAAAATTCTTTCTAAATAATTTTTTTAAGTTATTATTTCTAGCTGGATCACGAAATAAATCCATTTAGAAATTTCCTTTCAAACAAATTTAAAATTAACGTTTTTTAATTACTTGCGAATTTACTTGCAAATTATTTGCCCAAAATAATTCTCCAAGTAATAATTTTCAAGAAAAAAAAAGTGACAAATTTACTTACAAATTTTCCTAGGAAAAATTTTTTGTAGTTAGAAAAGACTAGAATTTAGAATTTCATATTTTCACATGAAAATTCGTAAGAAATTTCTGGGAAAATAATCGCCAAGTAAAATCTCTAACTAATTTATAGTTTTATGGTAGTGTTTATGGGTCGCGAAGCCACAACATAGTAGAGCGAGTATAAGAATAAGAAAACAAAACACGTCTGGTAGAAAATCAGCTAAACTACTATTTGATCAGGAGAAGATTTTCATACAATGGCCACAAACACGGGATGATGTACTCTCTTCATTTATATTTTGATAACACATGAAATAATTCATAAACAATAATGAAATAATAATCTTATGATAGAGTTTAGAAGAATACTCTAGAATAATGACGATTGTACTTATCTCTATGATATCACAATATTTTATTTCAATAGTGTTGAACACGTTAAAAACATCAAAGGGTGATATTTATAGACTTCAAAATTACCAGGAAAAGGGCATAGTTTATCAGTCTGGTTCATCTCACACTGCAAGGTAGAGAGATTCGCCCTAGCCCTGGGTTACGAGATTTTTGTTATTCTTATAATAACTTGTATTTATAAAGTTAATAAACAGAAACAGAAACAGAAATAAGATGAAGCAGAAAATAATATAGAATACAAGAATTAATCCGAGTCCACAGAAACTACTGTGTGTCCTAAAGAAATTTAATCCCCTCACTGTACCCAAGGTTATGGATTAATTTCTCCCAAGATAAAACGGATTAAACCTGTTAAAGAAATAGTGGTACCTCAAA